TTATAGGTCTGCTGTATGGGACCACTTTGCATTTAGAGTGACCTACGATGACGGCGGAAAGAAAGTTGTGGATAAAACAGTGTGCAAGCATTGTGCCACACGTTTTGTTTATGCTAACAGCAACATGACCAACATTTCAGGCTAACAATCAACATTAACCGAACCGAAAACCGTGAAAACGAAACCGTGAACCGAACTGAACCGTGGATTTTGTGAACCGTTCCACCCCTACATTTAACCCATCACCTTAGGGAGCAGTGGACTGCTACTGCGAGGCACCCGAGGAGCAGTGTGGGATTAAGGGTCTTGCTCAGGGACCCAGAGTGGAGGCTGTGTGGATCGAACCAGGTCTGGCAACCTTCTCAGAGCACCAGTGCACTGCTCTAACCATTAGGCCAACACTAGGAGAGTAATGACGGATAACATTGTCCTACCCAATAAATATTACCTTAATTCTGTGACATATAATATTTTTGGTTTCTTTTAAACGTTCGTAGAGCTCAGGTTTTTGTTCTGAGTGGATCAGGGAGGTGCACTGGAAAAAATCTAAATCTAGATAACTCATTTTTTCTTAAAATAAGTGCATTTGTTCTTGAATTGAGGAGATAAAAGAGACATTTTGCCAATGGAACAAGACTATTTAGATTTAGAATAAGAAAAGACAATTGCATTGTCTTATTTCAAGTGCATATTATCTAATTATCTTACTTTAAGAGTAAAAACACTCATTCCATTGGCAAACTATCTAATTTACCTACTCAAATCCAGGTTAAATACGCTTAATTTAGGAAATCTTTACTTATTTCTAGATTGTTTTTTAGGTGTGTGGGCAGTGGACTCACATGTGAGCGAGACTCTCTGGGCAGCAGAGAGGACAGCGTTTGTCTGTTCCTGTTGTGGGCGTCCAGATCCACAAATATCACAGACCATGAGCAGCCCTGCAGTGGAAACACACACAGAATACCAGTTACTTAGGAACTGTTCATGCTTTAAAGGAAAAAAAGCAGAAACTAATAGTGCTCACACCCACAAACAAACACACTTGGCAAGTCATCCATCATTTTATTTGAGAAAAGGAAAAGAAATAAATAAAATCAAACCCTTAATGTCTAACCTTGTGCCTTTAAACATCAAAACAGAGCATTTCCCTGTAAATTCAGGCACATATTTCTGGCTTTCATGCTTGTTTGAAGTTGAATGTGGGAGTGTTTGAACAGCAGAGAGCGGAGGTCCTTATAGGCAGATGAAGTGCTGCAACCCTAACGTAGGCTGTTAATCCAGGGCACTTAAATATCTTTAGGAAACGGGGGTGGGGGGGTTAAAGCTGTTCAAGCCTTTTTTTAAGTGATCAAACCTTTTTCTGGTTCCAGCTCGCTTCATCAGCTGTGCTCAAATAAAAGCAACCGAGTCACTCCTGCAACCTGCCAAGCAATTTTAATGCAAGTCTAATGCATAATGTATGATTATTGCTAGAATATGTTTTTTTTTTTCCCAAATAGGTCTGGGCTTTTAGTCAAATCAGCAATCTTTCCTTTAGCTATTTGCATAGTGCAAAGCATTGCTGGACATAAAGGAAGGCAGCTGTGCAACATTTGGGAAGGACCAGACAGAAAACAGCTTTTTCACTTATAGCGAACAGCTTTATATCGCTGTAGAAATGCCAGGGAACAGATTCATACACATAAAGGCAGCTTTATGAACACAGTGGGTGCAGTATGATGGGTAGGAGAAGAGTGAACCAACGCCGCCACTTTTCCATTATATTCACGGACGTTTAATTTAACACAGTGTTCTAATAGTTTATTTTTAAGATTCTCACTCATTCAGACATTAGATAATAATGACCCCAGTTTTTTTCCTTCATATATGTGGCTAAATGTTGCACAATAAATAAAGCAACTAGAAGCTAACTGCCACTGGACCAGGGCAAGGAAAGCATTAAGACACATTTATAAACATTTACAGGTTAAACTAAAAAATAAAAAACAGGGGAAAACACCCACACCGGAAAAAACTATCTAGAAATAAGTAAAAATGTCTGAAATTAATTGTATTTACCCTTAATTTGAGTAGGCAAATTAGATAGCTTCCAATGGAATGAGTATGTTTACTCTTAAAATAAAAAACTGAGATAATATGCACTTGAAATAAGACAATGCAATTGTGTTTTCTTATATTAAGTGTAAATCGTCTTGTTCCATTGTCAAAATGTCTCCTTTACCTCCTTAATCCAAAAACAAAGGCACTTGTTTTAATGAGTTATCTAGATTTCCATTTTTTTCAGTTCATAAAGCCTTTATTTTTCTATTTGCACAAA